TGATTTGATGGTACACTCAAAAAATAAAAAAAAAAATTTTAAAAAGGCAGGGTGTCAGACTGTGCCAAAGCAGGGTGTGCTGTGGACCTCCTTCAACCACAGCACCCGACATCCATGCCCGCAATAACAAAAGGGCGAGCACAGTTCACCTGATGCGGTCCAAGAACCTGCATGGCCCCTGCTGATGTGAGAGGTAAGGTAATGGAGTTCATGCTGAAGGCAAAATAGTTCTCTCAGTTCTACCTTTTCCTTTAAGGCCTTTCCTCCACTGAAAAGTGTAAACTTAGAACTGTAAACATAAATAAAGAATAACCTTAAAACCAATAAAACCTTGCACCTTTTTTGCAGAATTCAAGATAGTACTATTTTACAGCCTCTTGTTTAAATGCCTGCGTGTACAACACCAGATTCCACGGGGTCAAAGCTTGGCTGCTACATTAAATACCAGGATCCTCTTAAGGGGGGGGGGAACCCTAGAAAAAGATGTTCTCAAGAAGCTTTAAGCACAAGTAACTAACTCCAAAGGTATGGGATACCTCTGTGCCAAAGAAAGCCAAAAACCATAGCAGTGGTAAATAAAAAACAAAAACAAAACCCCAACAAACCAAAACAGAGGTCCCACTTCCCTAACAGGAGTTAAGTCTCCCATCACTACTAAGAGGGGGGGACTGAAAAGGCTAAGGAAATTAAAGAGGAGGCTGAGGGTTAGTACAGAGAAGGGGGGGGGTAGCAGGCCCCAGACGAAGCAGCCTTCCAACATCCAGCCTCACTGGCAACTTTAAACCATCAGTTTTTGGATTTGTTTAAAGACACTGTTCTGAAGTAAGTTTGAACACTAATATAGGAAGAAAAGTTCTCAAAAACTATTAACAAGTAATGATGCCTTAGTTATAAAGCATCTCTTTCAAGTAGATAGAGCTGAATTGTAGAATTAATTCCTTGTCTCTTAAGTTCATGTGTCCAATACTTATCTTGGGACGATGTGCTCAGTTCCAGACAACTGGCTGTTTGCTGGAGCAGAATGAATCAACAGATACTTCAAGGGCACAGCTTAGGTCTCCCTGGCTCCCGGCCAGACCCACAGACATCACAGCTTACACTCAGGCCATTCGCCCCATGTGGTCTTTGTACGGAAGCTTCTTAAGAAGCTTCCCTGGCTGCTGCGTGCTGCTGCCCCCCGCCCTGCCTCTTCTTTCACCCGTAGATGTGGGTGTCCCTGCCGCTGGACTCCAGGATCCCTGAGTTCTCCCCTTAAAGTTCCCCCCCTGCTGATGTTTCTCCAGGTAGTGTGCAGACAGTGATCAGAACCCAGTGCTGGACCTTTATCCACAAGAACAATGCTCCTGACCATTACCAAAGCCTTACGAAGATTCACCACTCTAGTGAGTGAACTGAACACTCAAGTGCAAAGAATCCATTCTCTAACCTCGTAAAACAAGTCTTTAAAAAAATACAAAATATTGTGATCGCTTTGGCAGCACATATACTAAAATTGGAACGATACAGAGAAGATTAGCATGGCCCCTGCGCAAGGATGACACGCAAATTCGTGAAGCGTTCCATACTTTCGACCCTGAAATTAACGAGTCTCTAACTAAGGCTAACTCCTTTCACCTACAAATTTCGTCTTTGGATACAAAGCTAAGTGGATAGTCCTTACGGAGGGACTGTTTAAAAAAAAAAGAGGCAGGGAAAAGAAAAAAAAAATACAAAATATTATTAACTTCAGTACTGACATCGTGATTATTATATTTAAGGTCTCAGGACTTAGAAGTTTTTATCATACTTTGTATTTTAAAAAATTCAAAAACTTATACAGTTGGCTTCCTTCTTGGGTGTCTGAGTGACCCAGGGTTTTCAGTGATTCAGTAATAAATTAACCAGATGTTATCACTTAAATAGCCCTGTCTTCAAGGACTGCCTGATGATTTAAAAAAAACAAAACAACAAAAAGAAAACAAAACCCCAAACCTTATCCAAAGAGTTACAACCCAAAAGCCTCCTCCTTCTTTTTTTTTTTAAATTTTTTTATTATTTTTGTGTGAGTGTACCGTCAAATCAGATCTGACTGGTACAGGAGGAGATTGTCCCTCCTTCCCTGGCAGAGCATCTGGTGGATTCGAACCGTGCACCTCTGAGACTGTAGTTGCAGCTTTTTGCCACTAGGCCACCACAGCTCCCCTAGCCTCCTCCTCCTAACCCTAAGAGTCTCTTTCAGCTGGATTTTGAGGAACATCAAAGTCAACTTGTACAAAAATTTGGGGGGGGGAAACAAAGGGAGAAACTGTCTTACCTTTTGTATCAGAAATAAAAACACAAGTGGGCCACCTGCCGGGGTGCTTGTTGGTAGGACCCAGGGTCTGCCCAAACTACCTTCTGCAGAAGTAAAATGCTTTGCTGAGAACTTCTGTTCAGCTGTTTCTGCTGTGACATTGAGTAGTGAATATCCCATTGGCAATTCATCTTGTTAGGGGTCTTTCCCTCTTTCTCTGACCCTCCAAATTTCTCAGTATGATGTCTTTTTCCAAAAATTGGCCCCTGCTGACAAAATGTTCAAAATACGTGGAGAAAGTTTCACCAACTAGGTGAAACATGTAAATTAATATATTATCTACTACACTGTCATGTGCCGTTGAGTCCCCTGCAACTCACAACGACCCTGTGTACAACATCCCTAAAACCTGCTCTATCCTGTGCCTATCTCACTGTCTCCGGCACACATACCCCAATTACCCCAGTCACTGAATCAATCCACCTCATAGAGGGTCTTCCTCTCCTGCGCTGTCCCTCCACCCTCCCAAGCATGATGTCCCTCTCCAAGGAGTGGTCCCTCCTTGCAACATGTCCAAAGTATATCAGACAAAGCCTCAGAATCCTTGTCTCCAAGGCGCAGGCTGGTTTAACCCTCTCCAGACTGAACCTGTTTGTTTTCTTAGCAGTCCATGATACATTCAATACTCTTCTCCAACACCACAGCTCAAAGGCACAAATTCTACTTCTAGCCTCCTTAGTCATTGTCCACCTTTCTGATGCACATCAAGTGATTCCAAAGACAACTATCTGTATCAGGCACACCTTAGTCTCCAGAGTGATATCATTGCTCTTCAGTACTTTGTAGAGAGGTCCCTAACAGCAGACTTTCCTATCGCAATACATCTTTTAATCTCCTGGCTGCTGGTGCCAAGAGTGTTGACTGTGGAGCCAAGCAAACTAAAACTGTGAACAATCTCAATCTCTTCACCATCCATCCTAATGCTGCCAATTGGCCCAGTGATAAGAATCTGTCCTGACATTGAGCCTCAATCCATATTGAAGGCTGCAGTCCTTGACCTTATGCAGCAAGCGCTTCATGTCCTCAGTTTCTACAAGCAGACTTGCGTCATCTGCATAACGCAGATTGTTGATGAAACTTCCTCCAATCCTGATGCCACATTTCTCTTCATACAGCTCAGCCTCCTGGATAATCTGCATATATGTTGCAAAGGTTATGGAGAGAGGACACATCCCTGGCGTACATCCTTATCAATTTTGAACCATGCAGTGTTTCCTTGCTCCATTCTAACAACTGCCTCCTGGTCCAAGTATAGGTTTTACATTAGCATGATCAAACATTCTGGGATCCCCATTCTTCTCAGAGTCAGCCACAGTTTGTTGTGATCTACACAGTCAAAAGCCTTTGCATAGTCAATGAAACACAGATAGACATTCTTCTGGTATTCCCTGCTTTCAGCCAAGATCCAACATCAGCTACAATATCCCTAGTACCACGACCTTCTAAACCCTGCCTGCACTTCTGGCAGTTCTCTGCTGATGTGCTGTTCCAGATGTTTTTGGATAACTGTCAGCAGAATCTTGCTTGCATGTGTTATCAATGGTACTGTTCAATAATTTCCACACTCTGTTGGGTCACCTTTCTTTGGAACGGGAACAGATTATCTATTACACTAGGTTTATTTAAAAAAAATTCCACTAGTACATTTGCATTGGACACATTACCCAATTGCATTGGGCAAGTCTGCTGTCAGGGACCTCTCCAGATTACTAAAGAGCAAAGATGTCAGGCTGGAGACTAAGGTGTGCCTGATCGAGGCCATAGTCTTTGCAATTACTTACTACGTGTCCGAATGCTGGACAATGACTAGAGATGATAGAAGGAGAATTGATGTCGCCTCTGAACTGTGGTGCTAGAGAAGAGTATTGAACATACATATACCATGGACTGCCGGCAGAACAAACAGGTTTGTCCTAGAGAGGGTAAAACCAAGCTGCTCCTTGGAGGCAAAGATTCTGAGGATTCGTCTCACATACTTTGGATATGCTGTAAGAAGGGATCAGTTCTTGGAGAGGGACGTCATGCTTAAAGGGGTGGAGGGACAGCGCAGGAGGGGAAGACCCTTGATGAGACGAATTGATCCAGTGACTGGGAAAATGAGGGTAGGTGTGTCAGAGGCTGTAAGGTTGGCACAGGACAGAGCAGGTTTCAGGGCTAATGTACACAGGGTTGCTGTGAGTCACAAGGGACTCGATGTCACATAACAACAGGTTTAAAAAGTACTTACAGAAATCTTTCTCCCTTCAAGTTTATTTCCAAAAAGGATTAAGAGTCTATAACCTGCCATTACACTTTAAGGATGAAGTACTAATAAAGGCAAAAACAAATTGATGATTTTTACACTATTTTTTCCAATATGAATTTTCTACAGTGTTATTTTTTTTCACTCTAGCTTCCCCCAGTACTTTTTCCCCTTTTTGAATTCACTGTTGCCTGTTTACAGTGTTACTTTTTTTTATTTAAAGCTTTTTAAAAAAATTTTTTTATTTTTTTTTGTGTACCGTCAAATCAGATCTGACTGGTACAGGAGACTGTCTTTCTCCAGCAGAGTGTCTGGTGGATTCGAACCATGCGCCTCTGGGACTGCAGCGCTGCTTCATGCCACTTGGTCACCAGACAGCATTACTTTTTTTAAAAAAAATAAGCGTTCCGGCATTTTCTCCACGAGTTACTTCTTACAAGGCTTTCCCGCTTTTCGTTTGCGGTGTCCCTCTCGAGCATGTGTCTTCAGGTGGTATTTCAGGGCCGGGGAGGAGTTGAAGGCCCTGCCGCACTCCTGGCACTGGTAGGGCCTCTCGCCAGTGTGCATGCGCCGGTGGTTGGGCAGGGAGACGGCGCTGCGGAAGGCCTTCCCGCAGAGCTGGCAGACGTAGGGCTTCTCCCCGCTGTGCATGCGCTCGTGTCTGCGCAGGAAGAAGGGCTGGTCGAAGCCCTTGCCGCACTGGCCGCACGCGTGCGGCTTCTCCTGGCTGTGCGTCCTCTCGTGTCTCCGCAGGGACTGCGGGTACGAGAAGGTCTTCCCGCACTGCGTGCACGCGTGGGCCACCTTGCCGGTGTGCGTGGTCGTGTGCTCCCGTAAGGAGATGGCCCACCTGAAGGCCTTGCCGCACTCCTGGCACCGGTAGGGCCGGGCGCCCGAGTGCGTCTTCAGGTGGTTGCGCAGGGTAGACTGCCACTGGAAGGTCTTCCCACAGTGACGGCAGGCGTACAGCTTCTCGATGTTGTGTGCCCGCGTGTGTCTCTGCAGGCACACGGGCCAGCGGAACGCCTTCCCGCACAGCCTGCACTCGAAGGACTTCTCCCCGCAGCGCGAGATGCGGTGTCTCCGGAAGGCGATGGGGGACGTGAAGGCCTTGCCGCATCGCTTGCACTTCTCCTCGGTGTGCGATGCCATGTGTGTCTGTAAGGAGATGGGCCACTTGAAGGCCTTGCCGCACTGCTCACACGCGTAGGGCTTCTCCCCGCTGTGCATTTTCATGTGTCGCGTGAGAGACGAGGGCCACTTGAACGCCTTCCCACATTCCTGGCACTCGTTTGGTTTCTCTTTATTGTGTGTCCTCTCGTGCCTCTGGAAGGAGTCTAGGAAGCTGAAGGTGCTGCCGCACTGTTTACACGCGTACAGCTTCTCCTTTTCATGCAGTTTTTCATGCCTCCGATAGGATCGGACATGAGCAAACGTTTTCCAGCACAGTTCGCACGAGTAGGGTCTCTCTCCGCTGTGGATTCGCATGTGGCCCCTGAGCTCTGACGGGAAGGCAAAGCCCTTGCCGCACTCTGGACACCGGAAAGGTTTGTGGCCACTGTGACTGGCCATGTGTTTCTTGATGGACGAGGCGTACATGAGGATCTGCCCACACACCGTGCACTGATGGGGGCTGCTTCTGCCGGTCCTTTTCTTGTACAGGCTCAAATCTGGGATCTGGTTGAAGGTTGCTCCCAACTGGCTGCTGCCGTTACTTCCACAGAGTTTTGCAACCATGTAATTGCTGTTGAAACAGAAGCATGTTATTAAAAATGCACTAATAAGTAACATGTTATTATTAGATAAATATGTGTCAAGGAATTCTGGGGGCATTACGTCAGGCTGCTAACTGAAAGGTCAATAATTTGCACCCACCAACAGCTCTGAAGGAGGAAAAGGGCTGGCTATCTTCTCTCAAGATTTACAAGCATGAAAACCCAACGGAATCAGAATGGAGCTGATGGCAACAGGTTTGGTGTTTTGGTAATTAGATTCCATTTTACCCATTCTCAAAACAAATACAAGTTTGATCTTCCTTATTTTCTACCCTGTTGCAAACTGTTTGAAAGTGGAATAACTGGGATGTTCTGGAAGAGGAGTAGGACTACATCAGACATTATTAAAACAAGTGTTTCTGATTAATATGGAGTTTTTCCATCACTGTTTCCAATCAACACTTACCTTTCAAACAATGTCTAAATCACAACAAATGAAAATTTCTTGTGACCTAATAAAGAGATATCTACGCATTCTCTGGGTTTTTTGCTCGTATGTAATTATTTGTTTTAAAGCTCTGTGAAACAGAATCTAGGGGTCCTATGACCTCTTGGGTGTGTTAACTTACCTTGGAAGTATCCCCTGGTTTTTACGCTGATCTTCAGTGTTAAGGCCTTCCCAAATTTTTCCTAAAATAGAGGCCCAAGAATCATTTCTTGTCAATTTCCGCATTTTCTCTTTGTTGGGTACTTTTTTCTCTTGAGTTTGTGGCTGAACAACTAAACCATTTCCTTGAGATGGAGCCTTGTCATCTGAAAGCAAAAAGTGAACAAATCTCATGTGAAACAAGGTTTTGCTTACATCAAAAGAAAAAGACTCCACCGGCCTAATGAGCCGACAGTGCCCACTGTCTAAACACGAGCGCAGGGGAGATGCCATCCTCACCGGTGACGCCACCTCACCTACGGACTCCAGGTTCCTGACGGTGTCCAGCATCACATCCCTGTAGAGCGTCCTCTGAGCCGGATCCAGCAAAGCCCACTCCTCCTGTGTGAAGTCCACAGCCACGTCCTCAAAGACCACCGGCTCCTAAAACACACCAGTTACAGGTGAAGCAGACAGCATGGGGACTGGAGTCAACGCACAAGAAGTGGAAACAGGATTCTACGATCCTGGAACAACTACAGTACATCATCAGATTGCTGTCTGTGTTAACACGCACTAACCCAGGGACTAACGATTCTCAAGCTGAAAAAACTGACAAATTCAAGCTTCGCGTTGCAATACTAAAGGGTTCTATGGGCAAAGTCTTGAATATTGTTGCCCATGTTGTTGTGAGGTGCCACGGACTCAAGTACAATCGTAGTGATACTATTATCAACAAACCTAAATCACTCCCTACGCTGTGCCGTCCTCATCATCTCTGGCACACGGGAGCCCGCTGCCGCAGTCACCTGTCAGTCCATCTCGATGGGCATCTCTTTCTTTCACTGACCCTCCACCCTTCTGAGCAGGATGTCCTTCTCCAAGGAATCGCCTCTCCTAGCAACATGTCCAAACCATGAGACATGAACCTCTGCCATCCTTCCTTCAAGAGGCACTCTGGCTGCCCCTTTCCAAGACGTGTCTGCTTGTTGCTCTGGCCATCCATGGGATGTCCAGCCCTCTTCTCCAACACCACAGCTCAAAGGCATCAATTCTTTTGTCATCTTTAACCCACCTCTTAGATGCACAGCAAGTAACTGAAAAGACTATGGCCTGAACCAGGCATGCCCTACTCTTCAGAAGCACCCTAGCCTTCACACTGACACCACTGCTCTTTAGTATTCTGGTGAGGTCCCTGACAGTGGGCTTGCCCCAAGCAATACATCCCCTTCTCTCCAGACTGCTGGGATCAAGGGTGTTAACTGTGGATCAAGCACGACGAAATCATTAACGGTTTCAGTCCTTTCTCCATCTATCAGGATGTTGCCCGCTGGCCCAGTGGTAAGGATCTTTGTCTTCTTGATGCGAAGATGTAATTCATCAATAAAATAAAATAAAATAAAATAAAGATGGAATCTATATGGAAGACTACAGTCTTTGATCTTCTGTAGCAAGTGCTTCAGGTCCTCACTTTCAGCAGCAAAGTTGTGTTATCTGCATAGTGCAGGTTGTTTATGAATTTTCCCTCCAATCCCGATGCCACATTCTTTTTTTTTATTTTTTTATTTTTTATTATTTTTTTTGTGTGAGTGTACCGTCAAATCAGATCTGATTGGTACAGGAGGAGATTGTCCCTCCTGCCCCGGCAGAGCACCGATGCCACATTCTTCTTCATTGAGTCTAGCCTCACAAATTATTTGCTCAGCATACAGATTTAATAGGTAAAATAAAGCCCGAGGAATAGATGGGTATTGATGGACATTTTTCAACTAATAGATGCAAACCTGGACATGCTCACCAGTCTCTATCAGGAAATCTGAAGAGCAGATGACTGACTAACTGTTCCCATCCCCCAATAAAAGGTGATCGAACATAATGGAGAAATCATTTCTATCACATGCAAGTAAAATACTGCTGAAGATCATTACAAAAGGACTAGAGCCGAGCGTGGGGCTGTGAGGCATACCGCGCACACCCTCGGCCATGTGTGGCTGCACACCTCACGTGGTTGTGGTCACCCAGGGAGCCTGGAGACACTGGCATTGGTTCACTGAGGCCAGTGAGAGCCCCAAGTGCACCCTCAGGCTCATGTGGTCCCCAGGCAGTCCATCCGCTCCTTCCCGGGTTGCAGCACCAATTACAAGTCCTGGAAGGAAGACATATGCCTGCAGCACACTTGTGCAGGTACACAGTGGAGAGGCCGCTTGCTGGAGACTACGAAGACTTCATCACTGAGTGCCATCCAGGCAAAGTAAACCAGCATGGGACAAATGCCATTTGGCCTCTTGTCTGAGTGGATACATCCCCCTCCAGACGAGACAGGAACACAGCTCCCCTTTGCCTCAGCAGGGAGAACCCTGACCTATGTGGAAAGGGACAAGCTCTGGATAGGTGTGATCCACACCATCAGCTAGAATACAGACTGTCTCCAGGACAGACAGACCAGCGAGGTCTGACCAGTCAGAATCCACACCATCAGCTGGAGAGCAGACGGCCTCCCAGACAGACAGACCAGTGAGCTCTTGTTTCAGTTCTCTTAGTACATTTCTCTAGAATTAAAAAATTAAAACAAACAAAGAACAGTATATCAATATGGAAGTGCCAGAAGTTCAAGATGGATTGAGAAGAGGCTGTGGCATCAGGAATATATATCATTGTTAATGGCTGATGTAGCCTGGCTGAAAGAAGAGACTATCAGAAGAATATCTGTGTTTTGTTGACAACACACAGACACACAGGCGTTTGACTGTGTGGCTCACAACAAACTATGGCAAACACTGAGAAGAATGGGAATCCCAGAACACTCCACTGAGTTTATGCGAAATCTAAACCTAGACTAAGAAGCTAGTACTCTAATAGAACAAGGGAACACTGTACAGTTAAAAATCAGGAAAGGTAGGGGAGCTCTGGTGGCCTAGTGGCAAGAAGCTGTACTGAAATCCCAGAGGTACACAGTTCAAATCTCCCAGATGCTCTGCCGGAGAAGGAGGGAAAAAATTCCCTCCTGTACCAGTCAGATCTGATTTGATGGTACACACACAATAAAAAAAAAAAAAAATCAGGAAAGGTGTGTGTCAGGGTTGTATCTTTTCTCCTTAAGTACTTAATCACTATGGCATGATGTTGCTATTGTGTGCTGTCAACTTAAAACTGACCTTCCAGTGGGTTTTCAGAGGCAGTTAATCAAATGGGAGGAGACTGCCCACCTTTCTCCAGTGGAGCAGCTGGTGGATCCGAACCACGTGCCTTCAGGATTTAGTGCACCTTCTTACCACTAAGCCACCAGAGCTCCCTAGAAGCTCCATACCTATTGCATCCTTTCATCAAGTCGATTTACTCTCTCTTGAATGATGTAGGAAACATCAAAAGGTAGAAAGAATACACAGAGTCACTGTACCATAAAGAACTGGTCCACATCGAATCACTTCAGGACACTGCATAGGATCAATAACCAGAAGACCAACATGCACCGAAGTAAGTGGGGAAATGTGTTGGCAGACGTGTTGAGCACATCCAGGGTTACAGCTGTTTTGGGACACATCTCTATTGCACTGGGAAAGTCTCCAGTTAGGGACCTCTTCAAATTATTGAGAAGTAATGATGTCAGTTTGAGGACTAAGGTATGTCAAAAGAAAAAAACCAAAAACACAACACATAACACATATGCAAGTAAAAATCTTGCTGAAGATTATTTTTAAATGGCTGGAACTGCCAGAAACATCAACAGGGAACTTGCAGCAATTCAAGCTGGACTCAGAAGAAGCCACAGCACAAGAGATATTGTTGCTAATGTCAGGTGGAACTTGGCTGAAAGCAGAAAATATGAGAAAAGTGTTTACTCACATTTGATCTCCTGCAAAGGCATTTGACTGTGTTGATTATAACAGATTACGGCGAGCACTGAGAAGAACAGAAGGCCCAGAACACTTAATCATGCTCATTCAAAACGTAAACATCAGGACTCTGCTTTCAGGGATCTTTCCTACAGCTCGTGACTAGAGCAGTTCCTCTGATCACATGGGGCACCAAAAACCTTGAGGAGGCGGGGCAGAGTCCCCTCCGAGCCAGAGGCCGGCCCCTGGGGTTGCTCCAGTACACCTGGCACTCGCCGTTGATCACTCTTCTCTTCTATCATGGGGCAGTAAGAGGCAGAGAATGCAGTCTGAGTGGTTTTCTACAAAACCAAAAAAACCACAAAACCAACCACAAAACGTATACACAGACCAAGAAGCAGTTACCAGAAGAGAACACGAGGTCGTTACATGGATAACGTCCAGGAAAGCTGTGTGTCACCGATCTGTCCTTTCTCGTATTCAATGTGTATGCTGAGCAAAAGCATTCTAGAAACAGAATTCTAGGAGGAAGAATGTGGCCTCAGGATTTGAGGAAGACTCATCAACAACGCGCATTTATGCAGATGACACACCCGGCGTCCAGAAAGGGAAGAGGACTTCAAGCACTGGCTGCAGAAGACCACAGGCTGCAGGCAGCACAGTTCATACCTGCCTTCACCAGAGTTCACACCTCCACGTCAGGAAAACAGAAATCCTCCCCACTCACCCTGTGGCCAGGAGGCAACATCGCGAGAGAAGGAGAAAAGACGGCGGCTGTGGAGGTCCCACAATCAACAGCCAAGGAAGAGCAGGCAGAAACTTCAGGACCTGTTGTTGCAATGGGAAGATTGTGTCCAAGGATGACTTTAAAGAGCTCAAGAACAAGGACGTCAGCTCAAAGAACAAAGTGCACCTGATCCAAGCCACGGTCTTTTCAGCTGCTTCCTATGCATGTGAAAGCTGGACACCCACAGGGTTACAGAGGGCAGGAGGCGCCTGCTGTGAGGTGGCCTCTGAGGGACAAATGACGCATCTACGGTGGCAACAACAGGCTCCAGGTCAAACCACAGCCCTGAACGTAGAGGGCATCATCTCAGTTAACTGCCTCCAGAGGACGCTCACAGGCAAGCAAAGAGGATGAGGCCGAGGCCGTGGTGGTAGCCGCTGTTCTGCTGCTCAGGCCCCGCTGCCCAGGCCTGGAATCCCGGCGGCAGGAGGGGACAGAGGCCAGGGGCCCAAGTAGTAAAGGTCTAGGGAGCAGGGGCTCCTGGTGAGAAACAGTGACAGATATTCAAGTGCAAACCACGGGAAGGAGACTGTGCTCACAGCTCTGAAATAACAACACAAGGGTGGCATCACAGTATTTCCACTGAATTTACAAAGAGGAGAATTAGGGGTCAATTTCTTCTCTACTGCACAGGATTCCCATTCTTCTCAGTGTCAGCCCTAACTTGTCAGGGTCCACAGGCAGGCGCCTTCGCACAGCCAATAAAGCATAAACAGACATCCTTCTGGTTTTCTTTCATTTCAGCCAGGATCCATCTGACATCAGCAGTGATGTCCCTGGTGCCATGCTTCTTCTAAATCCTGCCTGAACTGCTGGCCGTTCCCTATCTATGTGCTGTTCTAGCCATTTCTAAATAATCTTCAGCAGTATTTTTATTTGCATGTGATATTAATAGTAATGTTTAATTATTTCCACATTCTCTTGGACCACCTTTCTTGGGAATGTGAAGAAATAGGGACCTCTTCCGATCCACTGGCCAGACAGCTGTCCTCCAAATTTCCTGGCATAGACTAGAGAGTGTATTCAGGCTGCATCTGTTAACTGAAACAAGTCACCTGGCATCCCTACGATTCCTGGAAATCCTTACTCCTGGGGCCTTATTTTTTGCCAAGGCCTTCAACGCAACTCCAACTTCCTCCCTCATTACCAGTGGCTCCTGCTCAGAGGGTCCTTCCTGAAACGTTTCAGTGAAAGCCTGTTCTTTTTCGTACAGTGACTCTGTGTATTCCCTCCATCTTCTTTAGACGCTTCCTGGGTCATTCAACATATTGTCCATCGCATCGTTCATTACTGTGATTCACGGCTTACACTTGTTTTTCAGCTCCCTCAGCCTGAAAAATGGAGAGTGAACTCTAGCATTTTTATTTCCCAATTTCAGCTCTCTGCACAACCCATTATAATACTTTGTCTTCTCGAGCTGCCCTTTGAAATCTCTGTTCAGTTCTTTGTCTTCAGTATGATTATCATGATTATATGCAGATTACTGGTGGGTCTTTTTCCAATCCTGATGTCAAATCCTTTTTCAGAGAGTCCAGGTCCTTGAATAATTTGTTCACCATACACACTGAATAGGTATGAAGAGAAGACATCAGCTTTGATATCCCTGGTGCCACAGACTCTTCTAAATCATGCTTGAATGTCTGACAGTTCCCTGTGTAATGTTCTAGGCCGTTTTTTAAGGATCTTCAACAGCATTTTGCTTGCATGTGACAGTAATGATATTGTTTGATAATTTCCACACTGTTGGATCACCCTTCGTGGGAATGGAACAAATGTGGACTCTTCCAGTCAGTCGGCCAGTCAGCTGCCCTCTAGATCTCCTGGCACAGACTGGTGCTGCCTGCCCAGGACTGCATCTGCAACTGAAACACGGCAACCGGCGTCCCACGGATTCCTGGATGCTTATTTTTTGCCAATGTCTTCAGTGCAGCTTCAGCTGCTTCCTTCACGACCACTGGCTCTTGTTCGTAAGGTACCTTCTGAGACTTTTTGGTGTCAGTCAATTTAAAAAAAAAAAAGACCGTGTATTCCTTCCATCTTCTTTTGATGCTCCCTAGATCAATCAAGATTTAGTCCATAGCATCCTTCAAAATTGTAACTCAAGTCCTGGATTTTTTTTAAGTTCTTTCAACTTGAGAAAAGCTGAGTTAGTTCTTTGCTTTTTATTCTCCAATTCCAGCTCTCTGCATATTCCATTATAATACTTTGCTTTGTCTTCTCGAGCTGCCCCTTGAAATATTATGTGTGGCTCTTTATTTCAGCATCAGAGTTAACTTCCTGTGTGGGGATAATTACTTGAGATCATCATCTGAGTTCATGTGTCCCCCACTGGCCCCTGGGACAACATGCTCTGTTCCAGAGAACTAGCCATCTGAAGCAGAATTAACTGATATCAAGTTACCTGGCAATCAAGGACACAGCCTTGGGATCCTAGCCAGACCCAAGGTATCCACAGCTAAGACACACAGGTCATTTGGCTCCAGACCATCTGTGTTTGGATGCAGTATTTAAGGGGCTGCCACAGAGGCAGGGTGCTGCCACCTCATGGGGCCGCCTCAGAGGCCGCCTCCTCCTGCTGCCTCCTGCCCCAGCCTCATTTTCGACTCCTAGACGGTGTCTGTCCTTCCCCTTCAACTTGAGAGCCTGGGTTTTCCCAGGAAGTTCTCTGCAGGGGCTGCTTCTCTGAGAGGTGATGTGTTAGTTTATTTTCTCTGCCGAATGCCCTGGGTTCCTCCTCTGGAACTCCAGCTCGAATGTCATCCGTTTTCCCATGAAGTTCCCTCCCAGCTGGTGTTTCTCTCAGTGGTGGTGAACTCTTGGGTTTCTTTACACTGCGCTACAAATAAAATATCTCACCGTCTCATCTGTGTATCAGTGGACACTATTAACTTTTTTTTAAAGGTGTCAATTTTAAATACATCTTTGAGACATTGCTTTTTCCACTTACAATACAATGATAATAAAGTGCAATGTTAATTCCTTTCCCTAAGCACATTCCATGTTCAAGTATTGAGAATGCCCAGAAATTCAGTCTAGCAGTTTAGATTTTTCAACTGCAGTATACTACAATTTGGGTCCTTCAAAATTTAACTGTGGTCTTCCTTTCCAGCCTGGTTCCGGCGCTATGGCCCCCGCAAAGAAGGGTGGTGAGAAGTAGAAAGGCCGTTCTGCCATCAACGAAGTGGTGACCAGAGAGTACACCATCAACATTCACAAGCGCATCCATGGAGTGGGATTTAAGAAGCGTGCTCCTTGGGCACTAAAGGAGATCTGGAAATTTGCCATGAAGGAGATGGGCACACCAGATGTTCGCATTGACACCAGGCTTAACAAAGCTGTCTGGGCCAAAGGAATAAGGAATGTCCCATACCGCATCCGTGTACGGTTGTCCAGAAAACGTAATGAGGATGAAGGTTCTCCAAACAAGCTGTATACACTGGTTACCTATGTACCTGTCACCGCTTTCAAAAATCTACAGACCGTCAATGTGGATGAAAACTAATAGCTGATTGTCAAATAAAGTTATAAAACTGTCAAAAAAATTTTTTTAACTGTGGGACGATGAGTGCTAAAGTACGCAGAACGGTGTCGTCAACCTCTTCAATGGTGGGTCCAGAAGAGGCGTCCCCGGATGGAGGAGCTCCCCGACCCGGGCGCGCCTCCAGCACGCTGGTACAGCTGGTGAGGAGGGGCTGGCACACCTTCTCTGGCTCCTTCCGCTGAAGCTCCGGTTCCTCCTCTTCCGCAGTCTGATTCTCATCCAGCCAGCTGATCACTTCACTGCGCTTCTCAAGGATCCTCTGTTTGTCCTCGTCATTGATCTTGCCTTAAAGCTTTCCATCTTCAACTGCTGCTTTTGTGGTAAATGCATCAGACTCGAGGGAATTCTTAGAAGACGCCTTATCTCTCTGCTTCTCCTCTTCAGCTTTGCACTCCTCAGCCTCCTGGACCATTCGCTCGATGTCTTCTTTATTCTAGCGGCCCTTATCGTTGGTGATGGTAATCTTGTTTTCGTTCCCAGTGCTCTTGTCAACATCAGAAACATTATGAATCCCACTGGCATCAATATCAAAGGTGACTTCAATATTAACTTTTTACAACTGTCCCTGCTGAATTAAGTGGCCCCTAAGTTGTTAGTGAGCTATTCAGTTGCCCTTGTTGTTGTGCGCTGTTGAGTCAGAGGTGACCCAGAGGGACCCTCCGGTGAGTTTTGGTAAACTACGTGACCCAGAGGGACCCTCCGGTGGGTTTTGGTAAACCACGTGACCCAGAGGGACCCTCCGGTGGGTTTTGGTAACCACTTGGGGGGAGACTGCCCATCCTTCTCCTGCGGGGAGCAGCTGGTGAATTAATTCTGTTTGCCTCTGGGATCGCAGTGCAGCCCCCACCACTGGGCCAGTTTCTGTATTTGGTCATAAATACCTGACATTTGCATAGGCAACCTAGCCAGGGCGGAGCTCTGACGGCCTACTGGTAAGGAGTTGTGCTGCCAACCCGAAGGCTCGAGGTTCAAATCCACTAGCTGCTCCGTGGGATGGGCAACCTCCCCCCGTGAGATTATACTGCCTCTGAAAATCTGAGGAGGGTCAGCTACGAGTCGGTTCCAAGTCGAGGGTCTGTAACAACCACCACCCCCACCCTGTGGGGACAGCATTTGTGGAAACATGACAACAGACTCCGAGAGAGTCGAGTGTCCGGTGTGAAAAGGTGACAGCCAACTCACCAAGTTGTTACTTGGTCTGTTACCCTCCCTCTCTGGAATATGACAGTGATTGTTGGAAACATTTTACTCCCTTAAAACTCCCGTTGAACTGTTTAAAAGGGATATGTGATTAGGTATTACTGTCATGACAGGAGTCTAGAATGAAGGCTACATGGTGGAGTGGACCTGGGGGAGGGTTTGTAACACAATGAAAGAATTTTTCTTTTACTTTTCCAAGAGGGTAGTGTACTAGGGGGGA